CTCTGGCGTTCAGGGTCCATTTGCATAGTCAGAACCTGACTCTTGGAGGCAATGTCCTTGGCCGTCTGGTCGGCTAGGCGGTTTCCCCTCGCCTCAGGGTGATTTCCTTTCTGGTGACCTGGACAGTGCATTATGCTGAGTTCTTTTGGTAAAAACAAAGCCTCTAATAGTGCCAAGATTTCTGCTTTGTTCTTTATTTCCTTCCCTCCTGATGTGAGAAGCCCCCTTCTTTTGTAAATTTCTCCGTGGATGTGTGCAGTGGCGAAGGCGTACCGGCTGTCAGTGTACACATTCAGCTTCTTACCTTCTGCCAGCCGCCGGGCCTGTGTCAAGGCTATCAGTTCGGCCTTCTGTGCGGACGTTCCTTCTGGTAAGGGCTCGGCCCATATTACCTTGCTGTCTGAGGTGACTGCGGCTCCAGCCCGGCGTTGTCCCCCTTCAAGGAAGCTGCTCCCGTCTGTATACCAAGTGTGATCTGCCTTCTCCAGTGGTTTGTCGCTCAGGTCTGGTCTGGTGCCGAAAACCTCCGCCAGGACCTGATGGCAGTCATGGTTGCCCTGCGAGTCGGATTCTTCTGTGCTAGGTAGCAGGGTTGCAGGATTGAGAGCGACGGGGGGTCCGAACTGGATGCGGTCAGAGTCCAAAAGCAGAGCCTGGTAATGAGTCATCCGGGCGTTTGAGAGCCACCGATCCGGGGGCTGTCTGATGAGAGACTCTAGGGCGTGGGGGGCTCGAACACAAAGAGGCTGACCCAAAGTTAATTTAAAGGCATCTTTGACCAGGACTGCCAGGGCTGCCACCATTCTCAGACAAGGGGGCCAGCCGGCTGCCACTGGGTCTAGTTTCTTTGACAAGTAGGCTACAGGGCGTCTCCATGGCCCTAATTTTTGGGTCAGGACCCCTTTCGCGTACCCCAACTTTTCGTCCATGTACAGTTCAAATGGCTTTGTTAGATCAGGCAGGCCAAGAGCCGGGGCCTCCACCAGAGCCCTCTTTATGTGGTCGAAGGCTTGTTGATGGTGATCCTCCCAGATGAAGGGTTCATCTGTCTTGGTCAGGAGATATAGGGGGGCCGCCATTTCTGCGAACCCTGGAATCCATAAGCGACAAAACCCGGCAGTCCCCAGAAATTCTCTCACCTGTCTGTGATCACGAGGTGCTGGGATACCCAATATGGTTTCCTGGCGAGCTGATGTCAACCATCTCTGTCCTCCGCTCAGCCGGTATCCCAAGTAGGTTACCTCTTTCTGGCAGAGTTGGGCTTTCTTCGCTGAGGCTCTGTATCCCATCTGTCCCAGTTCCTGTAAAAGAGCCTCCGTACCTGCCAGGCATTTTTCCTGTGTCTCTGCCGCCAGCAAGATGTCATCTACATATTGTAACAAGATCAGGTGAGGGTGGAGGGTCCTGAAAGCAGCCAGATCTTGGTGTAGGGCCTCATCAAAGAGGGTGGGGCTGTTCTTAAATCCCTGAGGCAGTCGTGTCCAAGTAAGCTGTCCAGAAATTCCCAAGTCGGAGTCCTTCCATTCAAAGGCAAACAAGGGCTGACTCTGATGGTGCAGCTTCAGACAGAAGAAGGCATCTTTTAAGTCCAGTACGGTGTACCAAATGTGGCTAGGAGACAAGGTGCTCAGCAGGTTATAAGGATTCGGGACCGTGGGGTGGATATCTTCTACCCGCTTGTTAATTTCCCTTAAATCTTGTACTGGTCTGTAATCCCCGCTTCCTGGTTTCTTAACAGGCAGCAGAGGGGTGTTCCAGGCTGACCGACAGGGGATTAATATTCCTTGCTCCAGCAGTCTCTTAATATGTGGCCTGATTCCTTGGCGGGCTTCGGCCGTCATAGGATATTGTTTAACAGCCACCGGTGCCGCGGTGGCCTTTAATTCGATAATTAGGGGTGGCCGATGTATAGCTAATCCCATTCCTCCTGTCTCTGCCCAAGCGTCAGGGTATTTGGCCAGCCATTGGTCTATGTCTGTTTGGGCAGGATGGGGATCATGATGTAGTCTATATTCATCTTCTAATTTAAGGGTGAGCACTTGTATAGGTGCTCCTTTAGAATCAGTAATCTTGGCTCCCTTATTTTCAAAATGGATGTGTGCTCCAAGTTTGGTTAGTAGGTCCCGTCCTAGTAGGGGGTAGGGGCAGTCTGGTACGTGCAGGAAAGCGTGAGTGACTGTTCCTGAAGCAAGCTGGACTTTCCTGCTTGTAGTCCAGTGATAGCGTTTGGCTCCAGTTGCCCCCTCCACCCATATAGTTCTTTTGCTGAGTGGGCCAGTCATCTGGGTGAGGACGGAATGTTGCGCCCCAGTATCTACCATAAAGGTGACTGGCCTTCCCCCCACTTGAAGAGTTACCCTGGGCTCAGGTGGGGGTTCCTGGCCCCGACTTCCCTAATCAAGCTGAAGGACCTCGGCTTTTCTTTCTTCTGGGTTTTTCTTTCTCCTGGGGCAATCTTTTGCCCAGTGTCCTTTTTCCTTGCAGTAAGCGCATTGGTCCTTTTCCAGTCGGACAAGCCGATTGTCTCCCTTCCTTTCTACTCTGCCTCTTCCTTCCTTTCTCACTACTGTGGCCAGGATTCTACTCAATTCCTTATTCCGCCTTCGGTCTCTCATTGTCTCTCTATCCTCTGCCTCTCTTTTCTGTCTCTCCTCTTTTTCCTCTGGAGTTTCTCTTTTGTTAAAAATCCTCTCTGCCTCTCTTAAGAGGTCTCTAAGACCTTGCCCCTGCAGATTTTCCATTCTCTGGAGCTTACTCCTAATATCAGGAGCTGACTGCCATATGAAAGACATCGAGACACTCACTTCTTGATCGGGGCTATCGGGGTCAAAGGGAGTGTACCTCCGATATGCCTCTTTAAGTCTTTCTAGAAACACAGTGGGTGGCTCGTCTGCTCCCTGTGTCACTGACCTTACCTTGGCCAAATTGGTGGGGCGTCTCCCTGCCCCTTGGAGGCCCGCTACAAGCACCTGGCAATAAAGACGTAGGTGTTCCCTACCTTCAGTCGTGTTGAAATCCCAAGCAGGTCTGGTGAGGGGAAAGGCAGCCTCGATCTCGTTTGGCAATTGGGTTGGTCTCCCGTCTGCCCCCGGGACATGCTTTCGGGCTTCTAGAATGACTCTCTGCTTTTCCTCCGTAGTTAGAAGGACTTGCAGGAGCTGTTGGCAATCGTCCCACGTGGGTTGGTGGGTAAGGAGAATAGATTCTATCAGAGCCGTTAGGGCCTGCGGGTCTTGGGAAAAGGACGGGTTATGAGTTTTCCAGTTGTACAAGTCTGAAGCAGAAAAGGGCCAATACTGAAACTGGTTTCCTTCCCCTCCTACGAGTCGGAGGGGCAGGACGTGTGTGGAATCTCCCTGTCCTCTTCTTTCTCTGAGTCGCCCCGCAATGGGGGAGGGAGCAACCTCTGGTCCTTCTGCTGGAGCTTCATCTGGAACAGCCGCAGCAGCCTGCGGGGGAGGGTGGTAGGGAGGGGGATTCTCACTCAGCAGATCAGCAGGAACACTCTCATCAGGGGGCAGAACAGGCTTTTGTTTTACCACAACAGGACACAAGGAGGTGGTCGAAGGGTCCGGATTAGGGGCAGAAGGGAGGACTGAGAAAAGGAGTCACCCGAGAAAAGGAGTCACCCACGGTGGTGGGTCAAGGGAGAGATTTTCCCAAGTGACTATATAGGCCACTTGGTCCGGATGTCCCGTTAGTCCAGGGGAGAAGATCTTGGCTTTAACCTGCAAAATAACATCAGAGTCAAAAGTCCCATCTCGAGGCCAGCCAACATTAAACGTTGGCCACTCGGAGGAACAAAAGGCTATCCATTGGTTCTTCTTGATCTCCACGGATTGATTGTGAGCTCGGCTCTTAACCTCTCTCCAGTGATCTAGAGTTAAACTCAGGGGGGTGGTTAGGTGTTGTCCCATTTTGGGGTGATCTAAAATCACAATGAGGCAGACAAACAACAGAAACAACAAAAATAGACAGCCGGCGACAAGGTACCGCTTAGTGCGACTCCGGGGAAGAACTGAAAAAACAAAATCAGATGGCGAGGTTGTCACTTCGCTCAGGTTCACGTATCCTTCAGATACATGCTGAGCCCCAAAATATCGTGCTCCCCAGACCATGGGGGCTGGTCGCGACCAACACAAATACACAGCAACACAGAAACACTGACACTGACTCAGGTGTGCAGCTCGGAATAACAGATGACAAGGAAGTTCCTTGTCCAGACGAGATCCACAGAAATCCTACAGATGAACAAAAAGTTCTACAGACGTGGGTCTCACAGTCCTGGAGCGTCCCCCAGGCCGGCAGGCAAAGCTTAAAGACTCGTCAGTCTTGCTTTTGCACTGCCCAGAAATACAGACGGGATCCCCAGATTCTAC